CTTGAAAACGTCACCGTTCTGAGAGGTAGGTGTAAGCATGGAATTTCCGACTGTGCTAAGTATTCACTGTCAGTCGCTATGAACGCTTTTATGTTGCAAATTGTTCGTTATGAAAGAAAACTGCGATGCAAAAGAGGAATCAAATTGACTTTTTTTCCTCTCTCATCAGATGTCTTCAGTTTATCGTCGACTTATCAAGGCAACTTCCCTTTCCAGTCACTTTATTCCCGTTTAAGTTCCTCAGTTGATCACTGTTATGCGTTCACCTCAAGCAGCGGGTCGTAGCGAAATGTTTCCTTCATTATTGAACAATAATTTTTTTGATAACGAAATCTAACCTAATGAAGCATCAATGTTGTTCATGTGTTTATGGTGGTGAAATCATGATAAGGCAACGTTAAATCTATTCGTCATCGGTGGCTCAAAACTTTCAGCTATATATCCATTAGGTAGCATATTGAAGCATTAGTCAAAAGTGTGTATTTATTTTATCAGAATGTTTAGCAAAGAAAGACGTGTGTTATCAGATTTTGGTGTCTGTTAGCTAGATCATCCGAAACTGCATTTTCATCAGTAGTGTACGGTAACTTAAATACTCAAACGCAGAAGCACGTCAGTTATTCGAAAGATTTGCACGTTATTTTCAAACGAAAATTCTCATTCAAAAATTTGAGTGTTCGGATTTTCACTATTAAACCAAAATGCCGTACAGCGAGATCATTTTTCTTTAATCAGCAAATCCAACTTATTACGAGTTCGTGCCTCTCTGTTATCACCGATATCAATAATATCACATTTTCCCTTCCTTGGCATTCTTCTTTCCGTGCAGCTAACGATAATAGCGTTTGGGGTCATCTGTCTTCATGAAATTCGAACTCGAATTATTGATTTGGTAAGCACAGAGGTTTTGGGCTACTCTCCCACATTGCCCAATGATTCCCAGGGAGAGGAACTCAGAAGGAGCCCGAAAATACATTACGATTGATCGATTGAACATTCGTCCAACGATCGTTCACAGTATTAGTTTGAAACAACCAACAGTAATAAATCAGTAATCTTTCGTTATCAATAATAAACGATTAATGTAACCGAGTAGATCCATAGCAATCGGCGTATCAAGCACTCTACAACCAACTAATACCGAGTGCCTGTTGCCGCAGATAATTTGCATAATTAAATCAAGCCGAATATCAACAACAATCCATTAAACAGTCGCAACAATGACGGACATTTTGCCGATCGCATAGAGCGATCAATAGATCAATAGCGCTACATTTGGACATTTATTCTGTAGCAGAGCAATTCTTCGTTGCTATTTTTACGTTCCCACTACTTGCATGCTTACGATTAGATGCAACCAGTACAGCGATCCAAAGAGGATGGTCGTTACGGAATGAAAACCGTCACCAAACAGTTATCGTTTCTTTTGCTTAGTTTATATGAACTCGCTACTTTCCTCGTGTTTAACAAGGTACGTTCTCCTATATAAAGGACCACTAACAGCCCTCATCTTCCACTCTTCATTTCGTTCAACCTAAATGACATTTACAATTACAAAAAAGTAAACGACATTCCACCAACAAAACACTGATTTTGATTTCGATGTTCAATTAAGTACTGTTCAATCGTACCGCATCAAGCACATCATTCAACAACAAATTCCAAATGTACCCTAACGCCATTCCCTTTCACCTTGCATTTACAAAGATTATTCATTGTGTTGAAATACGCGTTGCAACACGGAAAATCATTATATTTATAATACATTATTTCATGGTTAGTGTAAGCAGTTCAATTAATGGACATGTAAAATCATTGCAAAGTGACAAATCTGAAACCAAAAACTAGTCACGAGATAGGTACTTGAAGGCACTGAAGTGAATCATGTACCGATAATAAATGATTATTCCGTACACTGATAGTAAATAATAATGATGATAACAATAGCAAAACAATTGTAAGAATAATGATATCAATAATAATACAAAATTCCTAATATAGATCACAATGATATCAATGAAATATCTCAGGAATGATGAAATGGCGTTCACGAAGAGTTCAGAATAAGGTTGGTACACGGACGACTTCTGTCAATGGGGTGAAAAATTAGGCAGCAGTGCTTTATCATCCGCAGCCAATCTCAGTCTGAAGATCGGTGTCAACAGCGACAACCAACAATAACAAATACAAAAGAAACTGGTTTGAAAATGCGAAACTCGAGAAGGGATCGAATCGAAATGACGATTAGCTGATAGCGATATTGATGAGATTGTTCTGGTGATTGAATGTACATACAGGATTGTTATTAACAAATAGCAATGTGAAGTAACGAACGATGACAATGTTTTCTTCAGATCTGACTTAATTACAAGACATTGATAGATGATATTCATTGGTACGATTATTCAAACAAAACCTTTCTAGTCATCGTCAGCTTATGAATGCGTTATGATAACGATAATAATTTTTGTATAATATAATCATCAATTCAGAATGGAAATGCGTACAGATAACAAAATGTTTGAAGATATCCACTAAAATTTAAAGAATTCCACTCAAATCGTTGTCAACAAACTACATGCGTACATTTTGACTGGAATCATTTCGAGAAATTAATAGATGATCTTTCTTCATCATTACATCAGATGCAAATAACAAAAGGTATTTGTGAACACTATCAATCGCTGTACAACTTTGTGTATATTGCCAATATATTTGCATATAAACCAGCCACAATTGAGAACACACCGATGATGATGAAACAAACATTAACAGATATTTTACAGATACGTTCACGATGTGTCAATAACACCTGAAATTGGTTTCAATTGTTCATATATATCAGTTAGTTAAGCGCATTATCAAATATAAACAGGCATATCTATTATGGCAATAAACTCGATATAACACAGTATAAATATCTGAAGAAAATATCAAATAATACCTTCCAATCGTTCCAAAAAGTGATCATCTCAAAGATAGGTGGATATATGAGTGCACATAACGTACCACTCGTTACACCGACCAGTGGTATCATTATTTCTAGATGAGGTACACTGACGGCCATTAGGAATGTTACCATCACCCAAAAAATTCTACAATAATAAACATTAATTTTGTTCTTCTTTATCATTTATCATTATTATTATTTGTTTACTAATTGAGGGTTATTTCATGATGAAAACAATTGAATTATAATAAAACTTTCATCACACAGCTGAACTATGAAAACTGATTAGAAAACAAATATAAAATGAATAAAACCTATCCATCATCTAACAATAAGAATAACATCAGAAAATTTAAACAATTATAAAAAAATAACCAATTAACAAAATGGATTAAAACCTAATACCTGAACCCCTTATCGACAACTATTTTGGGACAATTCGGGAACCGATAAGCGAATTTGCGACGAAATCCATTGAAGAACATATCAAGAATGACGTACATTGCAATTGAATGACCCAACATCGATTGCAACATTAAAAATACGTTTATCGTTGAATATAATCTACAAGATTGCCATTATCAAAGCATCTGTATAGACGAGCAATTCCAAAAATAATATTGCAATCATTAAGCCATCATGCAATACTTAGTACGATTACCTTAACTGGTAAAAATCTACTTCGTATCAATGGGATAGCAACCAGAAAGCAATGATAAAGTGCCATCCACTTGTGTAATGAATAAAGAAACGAACAGAACAAAATAACGAACCCTTCCTTCGGAACGTTCATAGTGATAGCAGCCTGCGTTTTATCACCAAATGCTGTGTATCCATAAAATCCAATCGCAACCATAAACACAGCACACAGTATCATCGTTGTTGGTAACACACCAAAATTATTCAGGAAATCATCCGGAGTTTCCAGTTTATTTTCAACTGGTAATATCTTCAAATTTATTTCAGTTTACTGTGATTTAGAATTCACAAAGCATTGATTATTGTGAGTCACTGTAACGGCATTTCAGTTTCTTTATGCGATGGTAACTCCCAAATTTACAGTCAGCGGAGTATTTGTATTGAAAAACGGAGATATCATAAACTTTCACTCGAATACCATCAAGTTGTAATTGTG